AAATGTTGTTTTCGATTAAAAAAAAATTCGGTCCTCAAAGGGTTAAGCAAACGATAAAAATTTTTTTTGCAAATTTCTAGTCAAAAGTCTCAAAAGTGAAGTAAAAATGAAAAAATCACTTGAAGAATTTCTGGGGAGCTGCTGAGGGGGACAAGGGAGTCCCTTGATAAATCTCCAGAGAGTCCCCGGTGAGTCCCCTGGGATTTATCAAGGGACTCTCTCGTCCCTCCTCAGCAACTTTCCAGAAATTCTTCAGTTGATTTTTCCATTTTTAACCACTTTTTGAGACTTTTGACTCGAAATTTGCAAAAAAAAATTTTATTGTTTGCTTAACTCCTCGGGGACTCCCGACATGGACTCCCCGGTGATTTCGTGAATGTGTGGGGACTCCCCGAGGAGTTGCTTAGGGAGGGTCGACTAGGGTATCCTTCTCTCTCTCAGTTGCGTATATAAGCGTGTGTTTTGTATGTAAAGGATGCGATTGATAATATGAAGAAGCTCAATAAAGCATAATTCCATCAGTGCTAGTACTTCTTCTATCTGGAAATCGTCACAGTTGACGATTATATGATATGAAAGTATAGCATTAAAGTGTAATACCATCAGCGCACAAATATCCCTTCTATCTATTTTTCGTCACAGATAGGTTTTGAGGGTCCCGTGGTTGTGTCTGAGAAGGGTCGAACGTTGAGAAAAATTCTAAAGTAGGTCCTAAAGATAGCCTTACCATTCGGTACTAGAACAAGCTACAGATCTGGTAGTTTCGGCGTTAGATAGAGGATAGTTTGAAAATTATAAAGCACCAATAAAAGTTAAAAATATGTTTGAGCTTCATAGAGATACTTGAGTCCAAAAAATATAAGAAATTAGCATTTTTCTATAGAAATTCCCCAAGAAACAGAACACGGCAGAAGAAACGCCCGCTACAAAAAATGATCATTTCAGTGAATAGTACACATGGTAAAATTTTCAGACTTCTGTTATTTGAAATAGAGGAGCTAGCTAAGGTCCAATTTAGCCAAAAAACCCCACCTTGCTCCTTTCCCTCCGCCTCACAGTGAGCAGTAAGTAAAGGGCATGAGCAAAAGAAATTTTCAGTATTTTTGATAGAAGTTTTTTTAGCAAAGGGTTTTTAATAACAAGTAAATATGCGTTTTGTAGCGCGCTTAATGTGCTTTCATACGCGATAATATTCAACTTTTTTGCGTCTTATGTGACTGGGAGAATTAGAGCTCAAGGAAAAAAATTTTGTCGCTTGGCTGCCCACTGTGCCCAGGCTCCCTTTGCAAGGTTTACACTTTTTTAAGCCTACGTCTATGCTTACAGTTACAAGCCCTACAAATGCTGGAAGTTTCATTCCATTTGGTTTGAAGTCGATGTAATTGTGGTACGCTGTTGAAAAAATCACTCATATGGTCAGCATACAGGTTATTGCTTGCATACATCGAATCTTACAAAATAAATGTTAATTTGTGCTATTCATCGTTGAAAATCAAATCTATTTTGAACTACCTCACGAAAGGAAATTTTCTATGTCGATAGTGCATAAAATTGGGGAATGCTTTTTTGAACTCGACATTGAAAACTTTCATAACTATTACTATCTAATACTGATAAATCATCTTCGATAAGCTTTGATTCGATATAAAATTTATTGTTTACTCTATTTGAAATGATAGCGGTACCCCCTTGGAAAAATATTATTTCCTACCTAGTAGCCTTGAGTGACGATTTTACTTTTAAATATGTTCCAGGCGGTAAGACTGTTTCGCTTTCATCTGGAAATTCAGAATGATTTTTTATTATTTTCCCAGTTATACATTTAATATTGAACAATGTACGTTTCTTTGTTTGATCAAGAAAATCGCCGGTAACATGAATCATGTCAGTACATGAACTAACACCCCACCACACGTGAACTGTACCTAAAGAGAACGTGTTGTTAGTTTGTAAAAATAAGCTGAAAATAAGCGACAATAAACAACGCTTTCGTATGCATCACATCTAAATTTGTATGCATATTTGTTTACGGTTTACTATTCAAACATCAAAAGAGGTCGATACGAGATAATTTTTTACTTGACAAAATTAACTTAGAAAGCGTGTACAGTGATTTAACAGATGAAATATCTTATAAGCCTCCATACCTTGCTTATATTGATCTCCCCAGTCACCTGTTTCACCACGCCACACACGATCTTGAATCGACGGCAGTTTATTAAATACAGACATAAATAAATTAAAATACTGATGAAATGGCGCAAGTTTTGCACGATTTTCATCACGTAATGTACGATTAAACATTGTATAGAATGAAGTTTTTTCAGGTGGCCACTGTTGTGTGTAAAGAAAGATTGCTGCTGACTCATCAGGTGTCAATCCGTCTTTTGGATTCTTACATCTTTCTAAGGAGTACGCTACTCGATATGGCAAATCTTCGACCAAATGATGTATTGGTTTTACAGCCTCATGTAGAGAGGAGGCGCTAGAATGTAGTTGGGAAATAGACGGTAAAGGCGGTAGTATTTTATCAGGTTCTTTACCAACGTCAATGAACCGTTGATTGTCACTCCGTTTTTTGTAAGATGACGATTCTACCGAACCCATTAACTTTAAAAGCAAACAGGAAGTGTAAGAATCTGCGTTTTAATAATATCTGCAAAAATGTTGCGAAACAGAATTTATCTGTTCAGAAACTAGTCCAGTTGGGAAAGAAGCGATAAGCAAACGAGTACAGAGATGAATATATTTGATTTTTCAAGTTTGATTGCCTCAACGTATTTTCATATTATTAAGCAAAAGAAATTTTAAGAAAACATTGTTTAAATGATAATGGAATTGCCTGGATAAAACTTTTAGATTTAATCTTTCATCTCTAGTTGAAAAGGTCTTAATCTAGGCCTACCAAATCAAGGGAGAATAGCTGATTCCAGACAGAATCACCTGGAATCGTTGGAATCACGTGGAGTCATCAGAATCAGTCGCAGTCATTAGAATCATCCGGAACTACTGAAACTCATTGTGGAATCACTCAGATTGATCTTTTATTTCGTCTGCTTTTCTACATTTTGGTGGTCGAAACTCAATGTGGCACTCTAGCTTCACTTCAAAATGGAAGTAGGCAGGTTGAGGGTGCGGTGCGTAATAAATCTGATTGTCTAAAGCGCTTATCCAATCAGAGTTCAGAAAGATTTGCTCTACTATAATCAGAATTCATCGTGACCTTCGCTTAGCCAATTAGTTTTTAACACGGCTTCCTCCTAATTTGCAATGGAATAGTAATTAGGCATGCACCGAACCCGAACGTTCGGGTTCGATTCAAACTAAGTTTTAGGGTGGGGAATCAGGTTCGGCTTCGGGTTTGGTCATTTTCAGTTAATTGATAAAAGGAAGTGGAAGTAAGCCAAAAGAGATTTCAGGGTTGGCTGTCGTATGTGTACACACAATAACATAAATGATTTAAAAATTGAAGGGCTATAGAAATCCGAAAAAAAAGTTAACGATGTCCTGAAATAACCGAACCCGAAACTAGTCGAACATTAGGCGCAAGGTGGTCAAATCTTCTGAAAAGTAGGGAAAGCTTCTGAATTTTGAAAGTTTTTCTCATTACTTTCTGATCTTTTGATTTTTTTTCTGATTTTTTTCTGATTCTTCTACTTTTCTTCGCGTCTGGATTGTTTTAGATCATGATTTTATTAAGAAAGTAAACTGCGATTATCACTCACCACTAGCTTAATATTGCGTCACTCTTTTTCTGTCTTAGTCGCAGGTAGCTTGTGAGTTGTAAAGCCACTGAAGCAGATTTTTATATACTGGTGTATCTTTATCAAATAGAAGCAGCACGCTTAGAGGCATAACTGAAGAGGTGCGCGAGTCGTAGACTCCGTTCTTCTGAAAATTTTATTCCTTTTAGATAGCAAAAAAGAAAAAAAACGTTCTTTTTTAAATATATTAGCTACTGGCTTCCTATGAACGATGGAATTACGCCACTCTGCTTTCGAAATATTGAGATCTTAGGGGTTAACCTAACTGCTTCGGAGGTTTAGCTACGTTTCACAACACAATGAATTAATAGGAAATCTTTATAAACATCTTATAACTGAAAGACATTTATCAAAGCGAAGCCGAACGCATGAGAAATATGAATAAAAATAACGAATTGATGTTATCTAATCTTTATTTTTTTTCTTTCGTAGGAGCTCTTAACATTTATAGTATACATGTGGCTTGTATTTTATGCCGTTTTTGTAAACGAAGTTTGAGTGCGCTAAAAATGAATTCGACACTAAGTGTCCTTCATTATTTCGTGTAAACTAAACAATATACAGGGTGTTGCAAAACCTTTACGCCCCCCAGGCTCGGCCTTAAAGTAAAATGATTGCACTAAGTATTTTATACCAAATGGAAGCCCGTAAAAAACTGCATTTATTGATACTAAATAGTAAAGGTTATGAAGACCTTTTAATGTCGAACTTCCGAGATTTTCAGAAATTTGATACCTTTTTTGGTGTCGAAAAGTAAGGTGCCAGTAATTCAAATACGAAATCAAACATTTTTTCTAGATATTTTTACATGATTCGATAGAGCTCGATGAGCTCTACAAAACTATATATTTCAAAAGCACTTTGAGCCATCTTTTTCAGATAAAAAGTTCAAAAACTGCTTTGAAAATCACAACAAATATTTGAAAACTTTACTTTTTTCATATGAAAGAACAACACTCAATTTTTCAATAAAACTAAGTTTTATTCATTATTTTTGCTGTCTCAGACGTTCTGAAATGTGCTCATTCTGTGCAGTTTTTGACGCGGCATCGAATGAGCATATTTCAAAATATCTGAGCTAACGTAACTAATGAAAAAAACTAATGTTATTGAAAAAATTGAATGCTTTTTTTCATATGAAAAAAAGATGAATTTTTTGACATTTTTTGGGTTTTTTCCTGTAGTTTTTTGAATTTTTTATCTGAAAAAGATGGCTCAAAGTATTTTTGAAATACATAGTTTTGTAGAGCTCATCGAGCTCTATCGAATCATGTAAAAATATCTAGAAAAAATGTTTGATTTCGTATTTGAATTACTGGCACCTTACTTTTCGACACCAAAAAAGGTATCAAATTTCTGAAAATCTCGGAAGTTCGACATTAAAAGGTCTTCATAACCTTTACTATTTAGTATCAATAAATGCAGTTTTTTACGGGCTTCCATTTGGTATAAAATACTTAGTGCAATCATTTTGCTTTAAGGCCGAGCCTGGGGGGCGTAAAGGTTTTGCAACACCCTGTATA